GGATCTGATGTGATCTTGGTCCTGGTAAATACATGTTTGGAGTGAGAACAAAACGCTAAAGTACCCTTGCTTGTAGTCAGGTATGTGTGTCCTGTACAAAAAAAACCAAAAAAAAAGTTGTTAAACTAACCCTTTACTTACCTTTTTACCAGATTACCTGGTTTGTGATGGTCTAATGCAGTGGTGCCCAAAAGGTAGATCTCCAGATGTTGCAGAACTGCAACTCCTACGATGCTTTGCATACATTTAGAATGACAAAGCATCATGGAAGATGTAGTTTTAAAACATCTGAGCGTCTACCTTTTGGGCACCCCTGGTCTAATCTAACGTTCCTCATAGAGGAGTTTACCTATGAGCCTTCCACATCACTCTCTCACCTTGCACATATCATGATATCCATTCAAACAGCTACTCGTGCACATAGAAAAGATAAATAACTTTAAGCAAACTCCACAATATCAGGTGTTTTTTTTTTTTTTTTTTCTTTTCCAACCCAATTTTTTTTGTGAATGCATGATACAAAAATATGGCACGAATGAACCTAGTTTAGAAAAATGTCACCTGAGAGGGGATATAATAACATTATACAAATATATTCGGGGCCAATACAAACCATTGTGTGGAAATCTATTCACAAACCGGACTTTACATAGGGCACGAGGTCATGCATTTAGGCTGGAAGAAAGAAGATTTCGTCTAAGGCAAAGGAAAGTTGTTTTTTTTGTTACTGTAAGAACAATAAGGATGTGGAATTCTCTGCCTAAAGAAGTGGTTTTATCAGAGTCCATACAGATGTTCAAACAGCAACTAGATGCATACTTTCAAAAACAGAATATTCAAGGATATAATCGTTCAATGTAAGGTAATAACTGCTTGATCCCAGGATAGATCTGACTGCCATTCTGGGGTCAAGAAGGAATTTTTTCCCTAGCTTGTTGCAAAATTGTAAAGTGATATTCAATCAGTTCCATTCACTATTTTGTAATACAAGATCAGGTTTTTATTCCTTTTCGCCTCTGCCACAGGCCCAATAGTTCACCATCCTTTCACAGTATAATCTGAAATTTCAATACTTTCCCTATTAGCAGCACCCCAAGGAGACACTGTTCCTCTGTCCAAAAGAAGCACCAACGTACCCCACTCAGGAGACGCAGGTTTGGCAAGAAGAATTAAACAGGATCTCTGGGAAAATGTCTTAATTTCTATACTGTTCATGGTCCAAAAAAGGTTCAGTTAAGAGGAAAAATGCTTATAGTGTAAAATTGCAGACACAGTAATGCATTATCGCCAAGCTGGGAAAAAAAAAAAGCGGTCTCACACATTAAAAAGGCCCTGATAAAATCAAGTACAAGAATCCCTTTCGTTCCATAAAATCAGACGAGATGAGCCGTGTTGAGGCTGTGACAGAGGACAATATAAAAGGAGAGCTGTGATATCACACACTTGGTCAGGGCAGCAGCTAAAAGGTGAGAACCCTTTAATCGCTGCAGATTTGGTGACCGCACATTCCAGAGGTTCTGTATCGGACAGAGATCTGGTGACCGGAGCCTGTGAGCACACCAAACTCCTTCAGGGTTCTTAACTAATGTGTGAGTTCTAAGGAATAACAACAGAAAAAAATATTCAAAATCAGTTTGTATTCAGTTTTAGTATTTTGGCTAGAATTTGAAATTCCCAAGTTACGTTACATTTCAGCTTAATCTACCAGTGAAGACACATTGGTCCATTCAGAGCTTCCTCTACCTCTAAAGAGACACGGTTAATACAGAGCTTACTCTACCAGTGAAGACACATTGGTCCATTCAGAGCTTCCTCTACCTCTGAAGACACGGTTAATACAGAGCTTACTCTACCAGTGAAGACACATTGGTTCGTTCAGAGCTTCCTCTACCTCTGAAGACCTGTTGATAGAGCTTTCTCTACCCATGAAGACATGCCATTTACTACTGAGCTTCCTCTACCTTAGAAGACACATTAGTTACATAGACTGAAAAGAGACATGTGTTCATCAAGTTCAGCATTTTTTACATCTATTTTTGCTGTTGATCCAAAAGAAGCCAAAAAAAACCAAAACAGTTTGAGGCAGTTTCCAATTTTGCAACAAACTAGGAACAAATTCCTTCTTGATCCCAGAATGGCTGTCAGATATCTCCTTGGATAAAGAAGCTGGTTAAAACATAGTTTCCTCTACCTGTAAAGAAATGTTTGTTAATACAGAGCTTCCTCTACCTGTGAAGAAACGTTGGTTAATACAGAGCTTCCTCTAACTGTGAAGACATGTTGGTTGATTCAGAGCTTCCTCTACCTGAGAGGACATGTTGGTTAATAGAGCTTCCTCTACCTGTGAAGAAACGTTGGTTAATACAGAGCTTCCTCTAACTGTGAAGACATGTTGGTTGATTCAGAGCTTCCTCTACCTGAGAGGACATGTTGGTTAATAGAGCTTCCTCTACCTGTGAAGAAACGTTGGTTAATACAGAGCTTCCTCTAACTGTGAAGACATGTTGGTTGATTCAGAGCTTCCTCTACCTGAGAGGACATGTTGGTTAATAGAGCTTCCTCTACCTGTGAAGACATGTTGGTTGATTCAGAGCTTCCTCTACCTGAGAAGACATGTTGGTTAATAGAGCTTTCTCTACCTGTGAAGACATGTTGGTTAATACAGAGCTTTCTCTACCTGTGAAGAAATGTTGCTTGATTCAGAGCTTCCTCTACCTGTGAAAGCACTCTGGTTAATACAGAGCTTCCTCTACCTGTGAAGACATGTTGGTTGATTCAGAGCTTCCTCTACCTGTGAAGACATGTTGGTTGATTCAGAGCTTCCTCTACCTGTGAAGATGCAATGGCTACTACAGAGCTTTCTCTACCTGCGAAAATGCAATTAATGCAGAGCTTTCTCTACCTGCAAAGACATATTGGTCACTACAGAGCTTCCTCTACCTGAGAAGACATGTTGGTCCATTGAGAAGGTCGAGACTCGCCTGCTAAGATGGGTTACTTAAATGCACACATTACATTACTGTGTGGCCGTACTTCCAGGAAGGTAATGGATCATTAAAAGATGAATATAAGATCCACTGGAAGCATAAAAAGCTCGGTATGTCTATGTTGTCTCCTGGAAATACCTGCATTAAAATATTATTTAATGAACACTTCATTGATTGATCAGTGTGCTTTGTCTGATAATGTAGGGTTTAATTTCTATTTTACTAGAACATCCCATACTGCACGGAATAGTTATTTACACGGAAAATGTGTCCATTCGTATGAAAGTCTTTCCAAGAATTTCTTGCATTATGTGTGAGTGATGGGGTCACAGGACAGGCTAGCAGCTCATGTGTTATCTCATCTGATGGAGGGAGACGTGTTCCACGTCAGCACAATTAGTTCAGCCATTGGCGATTCTTTTGACTACTCTCATTCTGATGCTCTATAAACATTTCTTCCTGTCCGCAGATTACATTACTCTATATTGTCCATTTAAAGTGCATGGGTTTTGCCAGTTGGCCACGCTAGCACTACTACTACATGGCATAATATGTGAGCTATGCATTGTACCAGCCGAATTACTAGCAATTACATTTGTAGTTTTTTTTTGTTTTGTTTTTTATCTACAGCGAATTGTTGGTTATTAAAAGTAAATTTAAAAGTTTTAGGCTGAATTGGAACATTTCTGCATGTCAGAACTGTTGACAGTACTGTGCTGGGGGTGTTCAGCTTTTCTAGCGATAAAATAAACCATCACTAAATAAGATCTCGTTTAATGCTTGGAGCCATCAGTTAAAGGCAAATTGTGTGACGGTCCACCACGGTCACAATGACCTCTAGGGCAGGACTCCCAGCCAACACCTGCCTAGAAGGACTATAATCATAGATCTGTCCCTTTCATTCTCTGCCATTGCCCTGCCAGACATTTGGGAGTCAAAAAGTCTGCACACTACCATAAGGGACTATCAGGAGGATCATTTAGGCACAGCTTGCCCGGCCAGTAACAATATGGAGCTGTGCATCACATTACGGGATGCTGCATTCAGATGAAACTTCACTTGGGTAGTACTCTGTCCCAGGACCATGAAACAGGGTGCTATTTGGTAAAGGAGTCAGGAAGGTGACGACACAGCCAATGATACCAAGGACTTGAGGGAGTTTCCTGTTCCAGAGTCTCCGGAAGCCATCATCGGTGACTGGGACGTCCCACAAATTAATTACATTATCTGGTTGTGATTTAGTTATGCACAGAGACCAAGGAGCCGGAGTGGGGGATGTATTGTGCGTGGTGATGACCCCCTGTTGGGGATATGTGTATATTAATTGGCCTGTTACTGAATAAAGGTTGTTCATGTCTTACTCTTCATTAAGCCTCGGCTGTTGTTAAGGATTTTAACTATAATAGCTCTAAACCACCTGTACTGGGGAAAGGGAACACTTGGTGGAGATACTCAGTCCGTGTATAGGAGCTTTGTCACAAATTGATTATTGTAAATTGGCTGTCGATGTTAATGGTTTTAACTAGAGCAGGGGTCCTCAAACTCCGGCCCCCCAGATGTTGCTGAATGTAACTGCACTCCCAGGCAATAAAGGGGTTAAAGCCGTTTAGGAGATATTCCCTTCCAGATATACAGGCAGCTACTGAAGACACAAATCACCCGAACAGGAAACCATATGAATGCCGTAAACAGCCGAACCGGAACCATATGAATTCTGTAAACAGCCGAATAGGAAAAACCATACGAAAGGTTTACACTCCTAGCAGTTGAACTGGAACAGCATACAATAAATCTCCCCCCAATAACGAGACAAAGCTCCGTGTTGGGGGTCAAGTAGTGAACTGGTTTACTGGGGCTACCTGCCCGGCTTTTACGCAGGTCTCCCACCTGGTGGACACTCCCCTAGGGGACCAGATGGAAGACTGGGATACAGGACAGATTCTGACCAATTACAGACATACAGTGTAAAAACATTCCCACGATACATTGTAATCCCTCCTCTCTATCCTGGAGATAATTGGGAAGTAATCCAATTATCTCTAAGGACAGAGGCAAGACTCCATTAACCACATGGCAGACAAAGGACAATAAAAGACATTAAAATATGCAATGTTAAATTTATTACATAAAATACACACATGTATCATATACCCAGATAGCTTAGATCTGAGCGCACATTATTACTGAATGGTGCTCAGATCTCACACATACAGTTCAATTGCCATGGAGCCAAGGGGCCCTTATTACATGAATAGGCTCCATGACATAGCTATCTGGGTTAAAGCATTCACATAGTAAAAGTCCCGATTGATCCAGCGTTCGGCTAAACGATCGGAGTTAGAAGCAGGGAAGGCTGGCGGCTCAGCAGTGTTTGCGAGTAAAAGTGTCCACTTTCAGTTCACTGAGTCTGGGCTGGACACCGCTGGCTGTCCGGGAGCTGCAGAATACTGCCACCGTGCGTTAGCAATGTGTAACCGCGACCAGTTTCTGGGTGGTCAATTGACGGCACACGCTAGCTTCAGGGAGGCCAATTGGCGGCACACGCCAGCTTCCCAGTGGTCGTGCCTTCATTAGTTTGTTCGGTAGATTGAATCTACCAAACGCCTTGGCAGAAAGGCACGAACAAGCCTTTCTGCAGGGAAAATAAAGTGTTTTAACTGCCAGCCCATAGTCTAAGGGCAGCAGGCGGGCAACCGGGCTTCTACAGTGCCCAGTGGCGAGGTTGGTTCCACCACATTGAACTACAACTCCCATGATTCTCTGGCTATCTATGTAGTTCAAAGAATCATGGGAGTTGTAGTTCAGCAACATCTGGGGTGCCGGAGTTTGAGGACCCCTGCTATAAAAGGTTAACAGAAGTTGCTAAACAAGTGTTCAGCACCTGTCAGTATAATAATGAAAATATTTTTATTTTATATTTAATTACATTAAAGCAACACTTCAAGAACCATAACCATAACACCAGTGGTTATAGTGCTAGGCGTTCCCTGAAGCCAACACCAGGTATAAGTAGTTAAACCATTTTAAGAATGATTTTTCTTACCTGAGATCCGATGGGTGCTGCTTCCCGCTTCCACTACTGCCTACAGGGAGCTGGAGCTGTCTGGGCTAAGCCTAGCCATGAGGGAGAGCATTCAGTTGTCAATCTCAGCCAACGCTCTAACCATGCACTGCAGGGCCAGCTAAGGACAGCTAAGGGAGTACTAACGCTCTAACCATGCACTGCAGGGTGAGCTAAGAACAGTTAATGGATTACTAACACGCTAACCATGCACTACAGGGCCAGCTAAGAACAGCTAACGTAGTACTAATGCTCTATCCGTGCACTGCAGGACTAGCTAAGGACTAATAATGGAGTACTAACGCTTTAACCGTGCACTGCAGGGCGAGCTAAGGACAGGTAAAGGAGTACTAACACTCTAACCATGCACTGCAGAGCCAGCTAAGGACAGGTAAAGGAGTACTAACGCTCTAACCATGCACTGCAGGACTAGCTAAGGACTAATAACGGAGCACTAACACTCTAACCATGCACAGCAGAGCCAGCTAAGGACAGGTAAAGGAGTACTAACGCTCTAACCATGCACTGCAGGGCTAGCTAAGGACTAATAACGGAGTACTAACTAAAATAAAAGCGAACACACCATTCACACATAATCGGTCAGCAGCTAAATTGCTTTTGGGATCTGGAGTGTCTCCTTAAATATCTCTCACTTTGTTAAAACAGAATTTTCTAATTCATTGTGATTTTGAAAAATTCCAAAGTTAAGTAATTCGTAATATATAAGTAACACAAGTTATCCGAAGCCGCATTAAAAAACACATGCTCTGAATGATGTTGTTATAGTGCCTGTAGATCCTGTGGTTAAATAATTTACAAACAGTTTAACCATGAAGTGGTACAGACTGCGGGCAACCTCCAGTTCCCTGTGTCTCCTTCTCCGGCCCCAGCTTTAATTTGTAAGGCTTGTACTGTGTTCCGGTGATAGGCCGACACTCTCAATCTATAACCTGCCTCACATTTATGAAAATGCATGAGAAAGGTATGTACCATTTATGGTGCTAGGAGTGTTCTTTTAACCGGCCTACCCTATCTTGAGGGATAGGCATCAACCAAAGGGTTAACAGAAAATGAAATCACTTGGATGCCTCTTAGTTCTGGTCATGGCAGAACAAATGTTTAATGAGCGTGCAATTTGACGTCATGTTTTCCTCCTGTAGCACAGGGACAGAACACAGCAGGATTAACCCATGCAGTGCATTGTCACTGCTTACACATCTTTTGTGTCATAAAAGCAGTCAATCACAACAAGAAAACAAAGCGTGTTATCACTGACACAGCACAAGGCGCGAAGGGTAATGGAGTAATCTGACGCTGTACTAACTTGCACATAACGAGGGACACAGGGACACAATAGTAAACACGTTTCTTAGACATCCTTATTTAACAAACATTTCAGACTGGGTTTTACTCACTAAACAAAAAGCCAGTGAATTTAACTTGAATTGCTTAATTTACTCTAAAATAGCGAAAATGTGACCATGTCTGAATTGCAGAGTGTGCTCAAATGCGTAATCTTGTCCTAAATTTAGCAATCCTGCTTTTAATTCACTGGTATTCAATGTTTAGTGAGTAAACTCATTTTATATGAAAACGCGTCATATCCAAGTTCTGGTGCTGTGAACTAAATGTGTTATAATGGGATAACTAGGAGTACGTACCGTTCTTCTATAGTTGTTACAGAGAACGGAATCAAACCAAAGCAGGTTACAAGCACTCAATGGACAAACACTAAGTGTACCAAATGTACTATACCATATTAAGGATTCCAAATCAGGTAGCTATCTGCTAAACAGCGCCCTAATTTGGTATCATTTGGAATTGTGGGAATAATGGTGCCTGAATTTTGCTTCCCTTCCGAATTTTTCCCAAATTTCGTTTAATTTTTAATTGATAATATCCGAATTTCACACGAACCGAAAATAGAAAGTTAATAAATTGAATTAGAAATAATTTTTCACTTGTGTGAATTACATTGATTGCAATATACTTTATTTATTTATTGCAATAACAGAGTTTTGGACGAGAACAAGAAATATAATCTGCAAAAGAAAACCCATTTAGAAGACAGTAACTATTCATGGATGGGGAGAGAGAAACATTATCACACAACACACGCACAAACGCACTCATACATCCTGCATTCATACCTGTATATAGCAAGACAAACACACAAACATTCACACACACACGCACAAACGCACTCATACATCCTGCATTCATACCTGTATATAGCAAGCCAAACACACAAACATTCACACACACACGTTATGTTAGATATTCTCTAAGGTTTTTCTCTGTACAGGTAACACTTTGCTGCGTTAATAGGCCATTGTTCTGGCAGAGTTTGATACACCATCACAATTAGTACATTGTGGATTCAATTATTAATTATTTACTCAAAATTAGATCAACAAAAACCATCTATTATTTAAAGCAAAAATCCATAAAAATATTGAACCTTTATTAAATGAAGTTACCCGCTCCTATGGCAGAAAGCAGACAATGCAGTTATACTACAGTCCTAAATACTTAGCCTATAATCTACTAACCATATCAGCCATCTCTAAAAGATGTGAGCTCCCTGTCTCTCGCTCTCTCTGTCTGTCTCTTGTTCTCTGTCTGTCTCTCGCTTATTATTGCATGTTGCACAATGCTGATCGAGACTATATAGAAAATGGGCAGTAATACAGCGCAATCTCTGAATGCCCCACAGACTGTACAATCCCGCTAAATATATCATACAAAATATATATAATATACTAACTGTCTGGGAATCTCCCGCCGTTATACACTAAGGGACAAATTGTGGAGAATTCACTGGGATTTGAACATTTGTAGCTGAAAATCCAATAAGGAAGTTTTGGCATAAAATTCACGATTTCCAGAGAATTCCCAAAAGTTGAATAATGTGGTTAACACGTTCAGGATTCCCACATCCCCACCCTTGGCTCCCAGTGATTAACAGACCCTTTATATCCAACTAGACCTCATTGTTCTGAGAGAGGCTCCTCCTCCGAGACCTCACCTCCTGCCATCCTCTATCCAAAGCCCTAGATAAGGTGAGTTTCCAGGGAATTACTCAGCATTTCAAATCACTTCCCACCCAAAAAAAACAACCTATCTCCAGGTCACCAGTGGTCTCCAGCAAAGTGTCTGATCACCTGGTGTCACAGCTCTTGCACAGTGGACCACCAGCACCAATGGAGGACCTTACAGCCTATAGCCTGGACTCCTGTCTGGATGGATATGGTCCCCTCATGCAAATAACCCACCAGCCTTGTCTCCAACCTACCATGGGATCTGCTAGCTTCTCCATGACCCGCTGCCTTCCCCAAAACCCCATGAGGACCTACTGCCCCGGGGCTTATACTAATTCTGGAGATCTACCAAGCTACCCTGATACCATGACCAACACAGACTGGCTAGGAGGTTCCCAGGACATGCGCTACCCACCCTGTAAGTAAACGGTCTTCATTCTCTCTGCCTTCCACTCAAACGTAGTAAATATCAGAAACCGCAGAATAAAGCTTTATATTGGAAGACACATTCATTTGTTTTATCTGATTCTACTCTATGGCTTCACTCTTTTAACTGCTAAATTGTACAATGTATGCCAAAATAGAAAAGATGCGCAAAATTCTCCATTGCAATTATTTGTTCCGTTTGGCTATTTTAAGCTAAAACTTTCAGCTCCCTGGTCAGTTCTCCACTGCTCTCAGATTAGTGAATATACCAGGGTGATCGGTAAAAAAGTTCCAAATATAGGCATTTTTGTGATTTACAGACAGGACGGTCAGTGTTTGCTAAAAGTAAAATTAATATATTCATAACTTATTGCTTTGTTTTATGATTTTATATCATCTTACGGGCAATGCCCTCTCTACCTTTTTGTATTTGTCTGTGTATATTGTACGTCCTCCACCAACTTTACTGCGGAATCTGTTGGCGCTCTATAAATACCAGTAATAAATAAATAATATCAGACTCTGAAAAAGTACAATCTGTAGATAAAGGAGATTAAATGTTCAGTTTGCTCTACCGATTAACAGCCCTCTGCCAATTAACGACCCTCTCCTAGTTATTACCCCTCTAACCATTAATATCGTTTTAACAGTTAATACCCCTCTGCCAGTTAATGTTGCTTTTCAGTTAATACCCCTCTGCCAGTTATTGCCCCTCTACCAGTTAATATCCCTCTGCCAGTTAATACCCCTCTGCCAGTTAGTACCCTTCTACCAGCTATTGCCCCTCTGCCAGTTAATACCACTACCCCTTTGCTAGTTATTGCCCCCCCGTCCATTATAAGTGTCTGAGGTTATGGAGTGATTTTATATTTCGGGCCCCCTGATTCAATGGGAGCCCCTTAAGGTACAATACAACTTGTTTTTAGGTTTTTGTTTTGTTAGAGAATGCTTTTATTTTGTTTTGAGCATTTCTAAATAAAAAGAAAAAGAAAGTTTGAGTGTGTAAGCTGCGCCCAGGGAAGGAGTGATTCACTTATCTGTGTATCTGTGTATTTGTGTATTTTGTCCACATTATTGTAGAAAGTACACAGACTTCTCATCAATGAATAGGCTCATAGCAGATCCCATCTTATCTCCCGCTCCTCCAATATTTGTATTGAGATATGTCTGGCCTCATCACAGGGACAACTCTATCTGATCTCCAGAATCCCAAGAATTAGTAGCTATTCATTGTATGTCTATGGCTCACATGACCCCTTCACTAACATCACACAAATTTAGTTTGTTTTATACCGTCACCAGTTGTTGTTGTGGTGTATGCGTGTGCATATTATCTCAGTCTATTTACTAAACAGCAGTTGTGAAAATCTAAGAACCAAATGGAAATGTTTCAGCCAAAATAGCTGAATTTCTCAACTTTCCTCATTAATCACTATTTAATGTATAGATACTACAATGGTCTGTATTCACTAAACAGTTTGTTAGGACTTGTGAAATTGCCCCCCTTGTAGTTTAGTGATCAGTCTGACGTTGTTCCTTTCTCTCCAGCTTTAAGGATGACTGGAGATGGTGCTGGGTCGGGAATAATAAATCACAATATGGAGGAAATATATCACACAGTATATTCTAGGTTTTATTTCTCTTAATGTCAAATTCCGTACAGTATGATTAACCAGAATTTAATCTTTTTATGCTTTAAAGAGGAGAAACTAGGCTAGGCAACTACTGCCATTATCTTTTTTTATAACAATATCTCCATCTCAGTTTCCAGAATCATTTCTCCTTCTGGATTTAATGTGTCTGCAGCTGGATGTCTGGCATATCTCGGAGAAGGACCCAAAACCTCGTTATACATCCAGCATACGTCCAAGAGGAAGAGAAGAGTGCTCTTCTCCCAGGCCCAAGTGTACGAGCTGGAAAAGAGATTTGAGCACCAGAAATACCTCACCGCCCCAGAGAGAGAGCAGTTGGCTAAACTCATTCACCTCACGCCCAACCAGGTAAAGATTTGGTTCCAGAACCATCGATATAAAATGAAGAGGCAGGCTCGGAAGAAGGACATTTTAGGAGACGAAGACTCCACTCCATACAGTGTGGAGTCTGATGGGGGCAAGGGCCCCTGTGCGAGTCCCTGTACGTCTATCGAGGAGTACGCATCAGGTGAAATCAAGCTGGAATACAAGGGATCCATCCAAGAACAGCAGATCAATACGCAAGCCCTACTTTTGGGACAGGACATGCTCACGTCAGCTTTAGACCACCAGGCGTTTGAGAAGGCAAGCAGAAATCTGGTAGCGTGGTGATTGTCCTTTATAAATTCATAGATTTAATGTCAGATTCTATTGGACTCTAAAAGAGTACAATCTCCTGTAACGGCTGTGCAAAGCATAAAACCAAGCATAATTCTGCAGGTTTTCATGGATTAAAATAGCTTTCTTCCTCCATGGGCTCCTTTGGAATAACAAGATAATGGGCACTTGAATTCCTGTCGCACAGGAGTGGTTACTGAGCCGAGTGCTTTCTAAGAGAAATGCCCCATTGTTTATCTGTCTGCAGACGATCCTCGTTGTGCATTAAAATAGTTTAGTCAAATACTCCTTGATGTAGATATTACAAAATGAACACACATAAAAGGAGTCTATTTATTAAACACTGAATCGTAACGAGAACGTTGAGCAATTTAGTATAAAATGTCCAAATCAGCATTTCTTGCCTTTAATTCCGCAATTCATTTATGAATTCAGCACAATTCAGAATTTATTGAATAAACATCAAAGTGCAGAGCTTGCAGACCATCCTGACAATTCTCGTTGATCGGAAAAAACGCACCGAACAACCACTCTCAGTCAGCCAAGATTAATTTCCAGATCTGCTTTTAATTTTTGAACTTTGCAAATTGCTTGTCAACATCTAGCCGTTCATAGAATAAATGACAAAATGTATTTTTATTGAGAAAGCAAACTATGGCCAGCAATAACTGAAAGATTTCTTTTTCTTTGAATATAGCTTAATTCATCGCGTTATTTTTGTAAACCTTAAATTCTTTTTTCACAATAAGATAACAGTTTTTTACAAGTGACAAGTATATTTTCCCAATAATTATGCAGCTTGAAAAATATTGGGGAAAAAAACAAAATCATTGTTTTGTTCTTTCTTTTATTAAGAGAGAATTTCAGATGAATAATGGGTATATAATAAAATGTATTCGTTTAGATTTGAATCCATTGCCCACTCGCTGATCATTCAATCTGTTTTATTTAATCCAAATATAGTGTATTGAATGTTTTTAGGTTTTTCCCTGTGCGCTTTGTAATTAATATTTTAAGTTCAGTTTGTGCTACCATTTATGTAAATACATTGTAAGATAATCATACTGTATAAAATGATTTATTTTAAATCTGCATTTTACAGAATAATTTTGTATTTATTTTTATTATTGCATTATGATATATTTGGTTAATAAGAAAAGAGGTAAATAAATGTATTTTAAACACCAATGACTAAAAGTTGAAATACACATTTTATTGCACTTCAAATGGAATTTTACAAATTCACCTCTTTTAAAACGACATGTCTGTCTATGGCAAATTCAGTTTAAAATCACAGCCATCCTTAGGGTGCTCACTGTAAATGGTTCTCTTACTAAAATTAAAATATTTATTCAAACCTTAACCATCATAAGGTTCGTCAAAATGTAGCTAAACTATGCTTTTTTATTTTTGAATTTTTTCTCATATTCTCTTTAAAAATAAATTTAAAAAAAACTTTTTTTCGTCTAGTGAAAAACAAGCATCAAATCAGATAATAAATGTTTTCAGACGGGGACAGTGCGGGAAATTAATCCCAGTGTTAGGCTGTGCCTCAGCATAACACACCCCTATTAAGGATTAATAAGTGTGTAGGGGTTAATAAGAATACCCCTCTCTGTCTCAGAGATTTTACCTTTTATCTGATATCAGCATTGTGAATTGTTGGTGTAGGACTCAAGTAGTTTTGCCTTGACGTAGTGGGCCAGCTTACACTTAAACGACTACTGAAGTGATACTAAAAACCTTCCAGTTATTTAAATGTGCAGATAACGTTTTTGCTGTTGTATCTGAGCTGATGTATACGGTAGCCATTTCTGCCGCCCGGGAGTAGTAGGAGTTTGAGAACAGACTTATTGTGTGAGTTTATAACACACCCCTTGCGCACACCTCTGCTTTTAAAGCTACTCTTGTGAATGATTTATTAAGGGTTCCTATTTTTATAATCAGTCGGAGAAACTTTGCATTTCTTAACAAAAAAAATAAAAATAAAATTTAAATAAATTCTCAGCTTCTTACTTTAAACTTTATATCTATTGGCACTTATTTCCCAAAACTATGTTTTTACTTACACAATTTTTTATTCAATTACTAAACTTTAATTTAATGTTTGAAATAGATACACATCAATAATTTATTGAAGCCTGAGTAAAGAAATATATACTATTAATTTAAAACATAACTGACTGTTATTTTAGATCAATATTGGTGTGTTCATTAAACCGTGGGATCTGCTGACGTGAGCATCAATTTTTCAGCTGACATTTTATATTATTCCACGCAGACTTGGGGTTTAAAGGAACACTATCGCACCCAGACCACTTCATGGAGATGCCATGTCAGCCCTGCAGCTGAAAACATTGGCATTCTGCAGAACATGCAGAATTACATTACGGGGTTAACCTGTTACTCAGACAGCCACTAGAGGCGCTTCTGTTCAATAAAACAATACTATTTCAATCAGATGGAGTCAGAGAGACTATGGGAAAGCATCGGATTGGCTAAGATCATCGATCTCGATGATTTCAGCCAAAGAGGAGGAACTTCACTGAGAAGACCGGCATTGTGAGGGAGAAAAGGTAAGTGAACTACCATTTTAACCCTGTCAGCGCTGACCCTAAATGGTGACAGAAAAACATGTTTGTTCTTAGACTGAAATCTGGCGTAAAGATAGAGTGCAGAGGGTAGTTGTTAATGGAGTCCCGGTTCCATTTCTCTTTAATCTGTTTATTAAATTGACAAACAAGGACCATCGTTGGCTCCAGTGATCTAAGCCCAGCAAAGCGAGCAATGAGTCCCTCCTTGTACCACCTGGCTTAGCTTAGTGGAGCTTCTCGGAGCAGATGAGGCAGCGGCAGATTGTTGACCCCAGGTAAATTAGAAAAATCTTCTTAAAGTGGATTTGTCAATATTCAGTATTTTACAGATATTAATCAAATATACGATTATATACCGATTAAGACTTCCTTGGAATCTCACTAAAAGACTCATTGTCTCCACCCTCTGCATGCAGACACTGAACGTTCCTCATAGAGATGTATTGATCCAATGGATCTCTATGAGGAGACGCTGAATGGACAGGGATGTGTTTGGCTTGTGCTGGCTCTGTCCCTGATTTGCCTCCTTGACAAGCTCAGCAAATCCAATGCTTTCCTATAGCAAAGCATTGTGATGGGCTCAGATCACCACTTCCGATGATGTCAGCCAAGAAGGCAGATCAGGGGCAGAGCCAGCAGCTGCAGACTGTAATAAAGGTAAGAATTTATATGTTTAGGGATGCACGGAAGGGGTCTAGATGGTGTTTTGAACACTATAGGGTCAGGAATGCATGATTGTGTTCCTGACCCTGTAGTGTTCCTTTAATGTAAAGCCTGAATTTGACAAAAGGCAGAGCTCTGAGGTCAGTTTTTGTCCAATCCCAGCAGCCCTCACAAATGACAGCTGTGGGATTCAGGTTCTGTCCATACTGCAGGATCCTCCATAGACCTCAGTGTTGTACTCTTGCGCATGGACTACAATGACATGGCTCCTGGCAACTGGAATAAAAGGAGCCAAAGAGGTCAGCAGCCCTAAGATGGTGGGGGCTGCGAGGGGCATGATGAAGAAAGCAAAACTTGCCTCCCCTGCATCCCATGGTCAGCTTCAGGGATATCTGTGAAATATGTAATGACCCCTTTAAGTGGCTGATCTGCTTTAAATGGTTTTAATACTTACTGTGGTAGGGCACCAGGTCTGTAGTGGTTGTGGTGTGTGGCGTGATCTTGCAATGGGCCTAGTAAGTGGCGTGCCAGTGTTTGCAGATGACACAATACTAGGTACGGTCGCACACTGTGGGCAGGACATTAAAAGATGCTGTAATTGTTATAGTGCACCCCCTCCCTGTTGTAAGGAATCAAACAGCTGTAGAATGGTTTGACTACTCATCTGTGCTCTGCCGGGGCGCTGCTCCCTGCCTATACTATTTCCTATGAAGAGTCAGGAGATCTCTGTCTGATCTAAGCCTGGCGTTGATACTCCCAACCAATAGAGATTGTTGGACTCTGGTGGCCTCTATCTCTCCATAGAAAGTAGTGGAGGCGGGGAGCAGCACCCAGCGGACCCCAGATTAGACGTCAAACTATTCTAAAACCGTTTATCTCCTTACAATGGGGGTGTCAAGTGGTAGTGATGATGGTGCTTGGAATGTTCTGTTAATCCTCTCCAGAGAGATTTGGGAGCCGTGCAGACATGTGATGAAAGTGAATAGTGATTTATGTATTTAATGTAAAACTGTGAGATATCTAAATGGTTTTGCAGTACAGAAATCAGTAAACAAGAAGATTTGGGAACAAGGGCGAGATGCAAACTGCAACATGTGCATCAGCAGAGACTTTTTTTGTGTTAAGGAGACAAGTGACGTGGAAGAGAATATAAACACTTTACCTAAATGGTGAATCCTGACCTCGGATATACAGTGCGGTATGGGGAACCACGTCTCACAAATGATGTTATCACACTTGGCGTGTCAGGAACAGATGACATTAGTCATAAAGTTATAGAAATAAAGTGACTCGGAATGAATATGATAACGTTATACACACATATAAAGGGTTAATATAGATAATCTCCTCGTTACCTGTTCATTAACAGGACTCTACAAAGAATACAAGGAAACAGAAATCAGCCCTTTACTACAAGTACTGGGACAGTCTCTCCAGAAAGGGCACTCAGTGAAACTCAGTAACTGTACAAACACGTTTCTAGTAATAAATCAATTATCTAATTTAATAAAAATATTTCCATATTGGAGTAAACAAGGCCCCCCTTCCTCCGATGATGATGTAATATAAATATTATACTTATTAGATCAGCAACATTAAATGGGGTGCGAACGGCAAGCTTAACTCAAATCCCTTTATAACAAGTGTACTCAATAGCAGCATTTATATAGTAGTAGATACATGGAATAGCTTTCCAGTGGAAGCAGTAACAGTAAAATAGAAAGGGTAGTAGATACCTGGAATAGCCTTCCAGTGGGAGCAGTAACAGTGATATAGAAAGGGTAGTAGATCCCTGGAATAGCCTTCCAGTGGAAGCAGTAACAGTGATATAGAAAGGGTTATTAGATACCTGGAATAGCCTTGCAGTGGGAGCAGTAACAGTGATATAGAAAGGGTAGTAGATACCTGGAATAGCCTTCCAGTGGAAGCAGTAAAGGCTAACAGGGATATAGAAAGGGTAGTAGATATGAAGAAGTAAGTAGAAGTATAGATGAGGGTGTTGCAGTGAATGTGATCTATTTGGATTTTGCCAAGGCATTTCCACACAATAGATTAGTGTTCAAACTCAAGGAAATCGGTCTAGATGAAAATTCTTGGGTAGAACAATGGCTTACAGAGTACAAAGAGTTGTCATTAATGGTAAATTTTCAAGCTGGACAGAGGTGGCAAGTGGTGTCCCTCAGGGGTCTGTTCTGGGACCCCTTCTATTTAACATGTTTATAAATGATCTCGAAGACAGCATTGAAAGTCATGTTTCAGTATTTGCAGATGACACAAAACTCTGTAAAGTGATACAATGTGAGCAAGATATTACTTTGCTGCAGAGGGATTTAGATAGACTGGGGGTCTGGGCACTCAAATGGCAGATGAAATTTAATGTTGAAAAATGCAAAGTTATGCACTTCGGCATAAAGAATACACAAGGAACGTATACCCTTAATGGAAGCAAATAAGGGATAACAACACACAAAAAAGACTTGGGAATTGTTATAGACAAACTATGCAACAATATGCAATGTCAATCAGCAGTGGCCAAGGCCAGTAAGGTATTGCCATGCATGAAAAAGGGCATTCATTCTCAGGATGAGAATATCATTTTGCCTTTTTATAAATCACTGGTAAGACCGAATATTGAATATGCTGTGCAATTTTGGGCACCTGTTCTAAAGAAGGATATTATGGCACTAGAAAAAGTGCAGAGGCGGGCTACAAAATTAATAAAAGGGATGGAACATATCAGCTATGAAGAAGGGTTAACAAATTTAAACCTATTTAGTTTAGAAAATCGTCGCCTGAAAGGGGATATAATAACATTATACAAATATATTCAGGGCCAATACAAACCATTGTGTGGAAATCTATTCACAAACCGGACTTTACATAGGACACGAGGTCATGCGTTTAGACTGGAAGAAAGAAGATTTTGTCTAAGGCAAAGGAAAGGTTTTTTTACTGTAAGAACAATCAGGATGTGGAATTCTCTGCCTGGAGAAGTGGTTTTATCAGAGTCCATACAGATGTTCAAACAGCTACTAGATGCATACTTGCAAAAACAATATATTTAATGATATAATTTTTCAACTGTGGGGCTGCTTGATCCAAGGATAAATCTGACTGCCATTCTGGGGTCAATAAGGAATTCTTTTCTTAGTTTGTTGCAAAATTGAAAGTGTTTAAAACAGTTGTTTTTTTTTTTTGCCTTCTTTTGGATCAACAGCAAAAACATATATGAGGAAGGCTGAACTTGATGGACACAAGTCTCTTTTCAGCTATGTAACTATGTAGTAAACATTTACTATGTAAAAGATAGCCCCCCAGTGGGAGCAGAAACTGTGATATAGAAAGGGTAGTAGATAGCAGGAATAGCCTTCCAGTGAGAGCAGTAACAGTGATATAGAAAGGGTAGTAGATACCTGGAATAGCCTTGCAGTGGGAGCAGTAACATTGATATAGAAAGGGTAGTAGATACCTGGAACAGCCTTCCAGTGGGAGCAGTAACAGTGATATAGAAAGGGTAGTAGATACCTGGAATAGCCTTCCAGTGGGAGCAGTAACAGTGATATAGAAAGGGTAGTAGATACCTGGAATAGCCTTCCAGTGGGAGCAGTAACAGTGATATAGAAAGGGTAGTAGATACCTGGAATAGCCTTCCAGTGGAAGCAGTAAAGGCTAACAGGGATATAGAAAGGGTAGTAGATATGAAGAAGTAAGTAGAAGTATAGATGAGGGTGTTGCAGTGAATGTGATCTATTTGGATTTTGCCAAGGCATTTCCACACAATAGATTAGTGTTCAAACTCAAGGAAATCGGTCTAGATGAAAATTCTTGGGTAGAACAATGGCTTACAGAGTACAAAGAGTTGTCATTAATGGTAAATTTTCAAGCTGGACAGAGGTGGCAAGTGGTGTCCCTCAGGGGTCTGTTCTGGGACCCCTTCTATTTAACATGTTTATAAATGATCTCGAAGACAGCATTGAAAGTCATGTTTCAGTATTTGCAGATGACACAAAACTCTGTAAAGTGATACAATGTGAGCAAGATATTACTTTGCTGCAGAGGGATTTAGATAGACTGGGGGTCTGGGCACTCAAATGGCAGATGAAATTTAATGTTGAAAAATGCAAAGTTATGCACTTCGGCATAAAGAATACACAAGGAACGTATACCCTTAATGGAAGCAAATAAGGGATAACAACACACAAAAAAGACTTGGGAATTGTTATAGACAAACTATGCAACAATATGCAATGTCAATCAGCAGTGGCCAAGGCCAGTAAGGTATTGCCATGCATGAAAAAGGGCATTCATTCTCAGGATGAGAATATCATTTTGCCTTTTTATAAATCACTGGTAAGACCACGTATTGAATATGCTGTGTAATTTTGGGCACCTGTCCTAAAGAAGGATATTATGGCACTAGAAAAAGTGCAGAGGCGGGCTACAAAATTAATAAAAGGGATGGAACATATCAGCTATGAAGAAGGGTTAACAAATTTAAACCTATTTAGTTTAGAAAATCGTCGCCTGAAAGGGGATATAATAACATTATACAAATATATTCAGGGCCAATACAAACCATTGTGTGGAAATCTATTCACAAACCGGACTTTACATAGGACACGAGGTCATGCGTTTAGACTGGAAGAAAGAAGATTTTGTCTAAGGCAAAGGAAAGGTTTTTTTACTGTAAGAACAATCAGGATGTGGAATTCTCTGCCTGGAGAAGTGGTTTTATCAGAGTCCATACAGATGTTCAAACAGCTACTAGATGCATACTTGCAAAAACAATATATTTAATGATATAATTTTTCAACTGTGGGGCTGCTTGATCCAAGGATAAATCTGACTGCCATTCTGGGGTCAATAAGGAATTCTTTTCTTAGTTTGTTGCAAAATTGAAAGTGTTTAAAACAGTTTTTTTTTTTTTTTTGCCTTCTTTTGGATCAACAGCAAAAACATATATGAGGAAGGCTGAACTTGATGGACACAAGTCTCTTTTCAGCTATGTAACTATGTAGTAAACATTTACTATGTAAAAGATAGCCCCCCAGTGGGAGCAGAAACTGTGATATAGAAAGGGTAGTAGATAGCAGGAATAGCCTTCCAGTGAGAGCAGTAACAGTGATATAGAAAGGGTAGTAGATACCTGGAATAGCCTTCCAGTGGGAGCAGTAACAGTGATATAGAAAGGGTAGTAGATACCTTGAATAGCCTTCCAGTGGGAGCAGTAACAGTGATATAGAAAGGGTAGTAGATAGCAGGAATAGTCTTCCAATGGGAGCAGTAACAGTGATATAGAAAGGGTAGTAGATAGCAGGAATAGTCTTCCAGTGGGAGCAGTAAAGGCTAACAGTGATATAAAAAGAATAGTAGATACCTGGAATAGCCTTCCATTGGAAGCGGTTAAGGCTAACAGTGATATAAAAAGAGTAGTAGATACCTGCAATAGCCTTCCAGTGGGAGCAGTAACAGTGATATAGAAAGGGTAGTAGATACCTGGAGAAGCCTTCCAGTGGCAGCAGTAACAGTGATATAGAAAGAGTAGTAGATACCTGGAGTAGCCTTCCAGTGGGAGCAGTAACAGTGATATAGAAAGGGTAGTAGATACCTGGAGTAGCCTTCCAGTCCGAGCAGTAACAGTGATATAAAAAGGGTAGTAGATACCTGGTATAGCCTTCCAGTGGGAGCTGTAAAGGCTAACAGTGATATAGAAAGGTTAGTAGATATCTGGACAATGCAGAATTTATAGCTTGCATGTAAGAATATTACACTATTATACTGACTATTGTCCTGAGATTATTCTTGGAATGACACCAGGCATGATATGTTGTGTGATATGGTGGATGTTTACTGTTGATGCAGTGGGTGTTGTGTAATACGGTGAATGTGTTGTGGTAGTTGCTGTGTGATATGTTGGTTGCTACGTATTATGGTAGTTGCTGTGTGATATGTTAGTGGCTACGTATTATGGTAGTTGCTGTGTGATATGTTAGTGGCTTTGTATAGTGGTAGTTGCTGTGTGATATGTTAGTGGCTACGTATTATGGTAGTTGCTGTATGATATGTTAGTGGCTACGTATTATGGTAGTTGTGTGATATGTTAGTGTTTATGTATTATAGTAGTTGCTGTGTGATATATTGGTGGCTGTTTATTATGGTAGTAGCTGTGTGATATGTTAGTGGCTTTGTATAGTGGTAGTTGCTGTGTGATATGTTAGTGGCTTTGTATAATGGTAGTTGCTGTGTGATATGTTAGTGGCTTTGTATAATGGTAGCTGCTGTGTGATATGTTAGTGGCTTTGTATAGTGGTAGTTGCTGTGTGATATGTTAGTGGCTTTGTATAATGGTAGTTGCCGTATGATATGTTAGTGGCTACGTATTATGGTAGTTGTGTGATATGTTAGTGGCTTTGTATAGTGGTAGTTGCTGTGTGATATGTTAGTGGCTTTGTATAATGGTAGTTGCTGTGTGATATATTGTTGGCTACGTATTATAGTAGTTGCTGTGTGATATATTGGTGGCTGTTTATTATGGTAGTTGCTGTGGGATAAGGCAGGGGCTGGGCTGTATGATCTATCACTGGTGTTGTGATTTGGTGGCAGTATGCGATAAGTGCGTATTACTGCAGATGTGGCAGTTATTGTGGGATGATACATGATGTATGACATTGTTTTGGGACTGTAGTTGTAGATGGATTCTCCTGATTTAATACTAGAATCCCTATTGATTGTCACACTGTTATATTCTCATTGATTTCTTGCCGTCTCTGCCCGGGTAGCTGAACCAGTGAGCGAGTGGTGGTCCCAATCATCCGTCTTTATCTTCTGATTATTACAGAATAGGTCGGCCCAGCCCTGAGTGAAAGTAATGAACTGTCATTCTCGCTCTGATTAATGTGTAATTCCTTTTTCATGAGAGCAAACACCACAGAACTTTCTGTAATTATTTCCCAATTGGCAAATTCCAACAAAGAACATATACATCATAGCCGTCTATATTGCCTCATCAAGCACCTCCTGGCTCCGTGCCCAGCCTCCACTCCACCTGAGTGTAAACACCATAAGCCAGCTTGTCTCTTGTCCTTTCATTCCGGCCGTGGAATGCACCAAGCTGGAGAGCTTCACCCACAGGCCCGCACTACAAGCCAGAATACCTTGTTTTGAAGCTTATCAAAGAGAACAAACTCCATTGGAGATCTCAGTGACATCATTCGTCCCTAATACTCAGAGATTTGGGTCAATATTGACTCTGGTGGAGATAATGAGGAGGCCTGTGTCTTTCAGGCAGGGCCGAGGCGCCAGCAGACCTGTGTATAGAGTAGGAAACGTTTTTGACCTTGCCTAGGGAGAACGGAGCGTTTGATCTTATTTGTACAAATTTAGCTGTAAAATGCACTCTTTGTTGCCTGCATGGTGCGATTTACAATAATGAAAGCGATATTAAAAGACATTACACATATATCGCTTCTAAATATACCGCCTCAAAATATACCGCCTTAACATATAGCGCCTCAACGTATAGCGCCTCAATATATGCAGCCCCAAAATACACTGCCTCAATATATATCGCCTCAATATATATCACCTCAATATACACAGCCCCAAAATATATCGCTTCTATATAAACTGCATCAATGCATACTGCTTCAATATACACCGCCTCTGTATTTACCGCCCCAACATATACAGCCTCAATATACACAGCCCCAAAATATACCGCCTCAGTAAATAGCGCATCAATATATATTGCTAAAAAATATACACCTCCATCCTGCCCTGCGTTCTCTCTGCTATTCCGGTACTGACCACAGTACAGCAGTACAGTGCTGGATGATGTGTGTGTGAGTGCTGGATGATGTGTGTGTGAGTGCTGGATGATGGGTGTGTGTGTGCTGGATGATGGGTGTGTGAGTGCTGGATGATGGGTGTGTGTGTGCTGGATGATGGGTGTGTGAGTGCTGGATGATGGGTGGGTGGGGGGGGAGCATTTTTTTTTAAACTTTATGTGTATGTATATTTTTTATTTTATTCCCCCCTCCCTGCTTCTTACCTTGTCAGGGAGGGGGGAGATCGCCTGATGGTCCGGTGGAGGGAGCCAGCCGCTGCACACAGGGGCCATCACACGCTGTGTTCCTTCTCCAGCTCTAACTCTCGCGAGACTCGCCTGTGCGGAGCGTTGCCATGGTAACAGCCGCGGGTCTCGCGAGAGTTAAAGCTGGAGAGGGAACACAGCGTGTGCTGGCCCCTCAGTGCAGGTAGCAGGGCCGGTCCTGCAGGACAGGTAACGGGAACGGCGTTCCTGCTTTGGAAAAAGTGCAGGAACGCCGTTCCCATGCGTTCCTGCAGGACTCGAGCCCTGCCTCCATCCTGTCCTGCAGCTCTCTCTGCTATTCCTGTGCTGACCCCACACACAGCTCTGTCACTACACCTCCATCCTGCCCTGCAGCTCTCTCTGCTATTCCTGTACTGACCCCCCACACAGCTCTGTCACTACACCTCCATCCTGCCCTGCAGCTCTCTCTGCTATTCCTGTACTGACCCCACACACAGCTCTGTCACTGCACCTCCATCCTGCCCTGCAGCTCTCTCTGCTATTCCTGTACTGACCCCACACACAGCTCTGTCACTGCACCTCCATCCTGCCCTGCAGCTCTCTGCTATTCCTGTACTGACCCCACACACAGCTCTGTCACTGCACCTCCATCCTGCCCTGCAGCTCTCTCTGCTATTCCTGTACTGACCCCACACACAGCTCTGTCACTGCACCTCCATCCTGCCCTGCAGCTCTCTCTGCTATTCCTGTACTGACCCCACACACAGCTCTGTCACTACACCTCCATCCTGCCCTGCAGCTCTCTCTGCTATTCCTGTACTGAGCCCACACACAGCCCTGTCACTACACCTCCATCCTGTCCTGCAGCTCTCTCTGCTATTCCTGTACTGACCCCACACACAGCCCTGTCACTACACCTCCATCCTGCCCTGCAGCTCTCTCTGCTATTCCTGTACTGACTCCACACACAGCTCTGTCACTGCACCTCCATCCTGCCCTGCATCTCTCTCTGCTATTCCTGTACTGACTTCACACACACAGCTCTGTCACTACACCTCCATCCTGCCCTGCAGCTCTCTCTGCTATTCCTGTACTGACCCCACACACAGCTCTGTCACTACACCTCCATCCTGCCCTGCAGCTCCCTCTGCTATTTCTGTACTGACCCCACACACAGCTCTGTCACTACACCTCCATCCTGCCCTGCAGCTCTCTCTGCTATTCCTGTACAGACCCCACACACAGCTCTGTCACTGCACCTCCATCCTGCCCTGCAGCTCTCTCTGCTATTCCTGTACAGACCCCACACACAGCTCTGTCACTGCACCTCCATCCTGCCCTACAGCTCTCTCTGCTATTCCTGTACAGACCCCACACACAGCTCTGTCACTGCACCTCCATCCTGTCCTGCAGCTCTCTGCTATTCCTATACTGACCCCACACACAGCTGTGTCACTGCACCTCCATCCTGCCCTGCAGCTCTCTCTGCTATTCCTGTACAGACCCCACACACAGCTCTGTCACTGCACCTCCATCCTGCCCTGCAGCTCTCTCTGCTATTCCTGTACAGACCCCACACACAGCTCTGTCACTGCACCTCCATCCTGTCCTGCAGCTCTCTGCTATTCCTATACTGACCCCACACACAGCTCTGTCACTGCACCTCCATCCTGCCCTGCAGCTCTCTCTGCTATTCCTGTACTGACCCCACACACAGCTCTGTCACTGCACCTCCATCCTGCCCTGCAGCTCTCTCTGCTATTCCTGTACTGACCCCACACACAGCTCTGTCACTGCACCTCCATCCTGCCCTGCAGCTCTCTCTGCTATTCCTGTACTGACCCCACACACAGCTCTGTCACTGCACCTCCATCCTGCCCTGCAGCTCTCTCTGCTATTCCTGTACTGACCCCACACACAGCTCTGTCACTACACCTCCATCCTGCCCTGCAGCTCTCTGCTATTCCTGTACTGACCCCACACACAGCTCGGTTGCTGCACCTCCTTCCACTGTACAATACAGAGTCTGATTTCCTGTACATTGTATAGTGCAAGGTGTGTCAGTCTGATATTAGACCTGCTCTCCATTGATACTGTAACACACACACTACGCGTTACACAATCCGACGTGGAGACACAGACAATGTTTGGTTACATAGCAATGTGTTACGCTGCCTGGCAACCAGCTGACCAATCAGAATAGGGTTAGTGGAGCAATGGTGAGCTGTCGCCTACCAGCTAAACACCATACGTCACCATGGAAACAGGAAAGACAGAGTGGAAGAAGGGTCAACGAGACAGAGCGAGAGACAGAGAGACAGAGAGAGAGAGAGAGAGACAGAGACAGAAAGTGAGACAGACAGACAGAGAAAAAAGCAGAGGGAGAGACAGATAGAGAGAGAAACAGATAGAGAGAGAGAGAAATAGAGTGAGAGAGAAACAGGCCGAGGGAGAGACAGACAGACACAGAGAGACAGACAGACACAGAGAGACAGACAGACATTCTTGGATTTTAAAGTAATATCGCTGAGTTAAGGGATGTTTCCAGTTGAGTTATTTTAGCCGGTAGTTGCCCACAGAGTGAATAAACCAAATGATGACACAGCCATCGAATACTAAAATATATTATTTTATATTGGATGAGAATTATGTATGTGATTTATGAAATTTTATTAATATTAATAAACTGTTCAATATCTCAAGATTAACAAACTATTACATTTCGTTCACTTAGCACAAGTAGTAATTTATTAATAAAAAAGAAAATGAATGAATGCACTGATATAGTCTCCAATCAGAGCTACTTCAGTGGGTTTGACATTTCATGTTAAAAATACACTTTGATGCATTATTTATATACTACGTTATTGTGCAGGGGATTTTTAGTGAGCATGGTTTTATTCACTAGTTATCACAGTGGCGCAGTTCTATTCACTGCCCTGATCTCTTTAGGGTCCTATAAGGAAAATTAGCCAATATGTTTATAAGTGCCAATAGATTCACTTTAATTTCATGATTCATTTCCAGTGGCAGCTGGTGAGTACATATCGAATTGTTCCCCCGTTTCAATCTCTGTATCGGTGCTCACAGGAAGTGATCCTGACGTATTTAGCGGACGCTGTATATATTGTGATTTATATAAAGTGTTTATAGCGATATAGCAGTTAGAGCAGTAAATAATGCAATATCACTGCTGGAGAGAAGGGGTTAATGTCTGTCTCAATGACTAGGAGCAAAAGTCTGTGCAAGGCAGGGTGTCTGGAAGGAGGAGGTATGAATAATTAAAGGATCCGTTATATTATATAAAGAGTCCAGGTATCAGAATGAAACATTATATTATATAAAGGATCCGGGTATGTGTATCAGAATGAAACATTATATTATATAAAGGATCCGGGTATGTGTATCAGAATGAAACATTATATTATATAAAGGATCCGGGTATGTGTATCAGAATGAAACATTATATTATATAAAGGATCCGGGTATGTGTATCAGAATGAAACATTATATTATATAAAGGATCCGGGTATGTGTATCAGAATGAAACATTATATTATATAAAGGATCCGGGTATGTGTATCAGAATGAAACATTATATTATATAAAGGATCCGGGTATGTGTATCAGAATGAAACATTATATTATATAAAGGATCCGGGTATGTGTATCAGAATGAAACATTATATTATATAAAGGATCCGGGTATGTGTATCAGAATGAAACATTATATTATATAAAGGATCTGGGTATGTGTATCAGAATGAAACATTATATTATATAAAGGATCTGGGTATGTGTATCAGAATGAAACATTATATTATATAAAGGATCTAGGTATGTGTATCAGAATGAAACATTATATTATATAAAGGATCTGGGTATGTATATCAGAATGAAACATTATATTATATAAAGGATCTGGGTATGTGTATCAGAATGAAACATTATATTATATAAAGGATCTGGGTATGTGTATCAGAATGAAACATTATATTATATAAAGGATCCGGGTATGTGTATCAAAATGAAACATTATATTATATAAAAGATCCGGGTATGTGTATCAGAATGAAACATTATATTATATAAAGGATCTGGGTATGTGTATCAGAATGAAACATTATATTATATAAAGGATCTGGGTATGTATATCAGAATGAAACATTATATTATATAAAGGATCTGGGTATGTGTATCAGAATGAAACATTATATTATATAAAGGATCTGGGTATGTGTATCAGAATGAAACATTATATTATATAAAGGATCTGGGTATGTGTATCAGAATGAAACATTATATTATATAAAGGATCTGGGTATGTGTATCAGAATGAAACATTATATTATATAAAGGATCCGGGTATGTGTATCAAAATGAAACATTATATTATATAAAGGATCTGGGTATGTGTATCAGAATGAAACATTATATTATATAAAGGATCCGGGTATGTGTATCAGAATGAAACATTATATTATATAAAGAGTGCTGGTATGTGTATCAGAAAGAATCATTATATTATATAAAGAGTCCCGGTATGTGTATCAGAATTAGACATTATATAAAAGGTGTATCAAAATCACTGCAACTAAGGGTGGACTAACAGACATTTGTATATAGTTTTATATGTTTTATATTTTTATGATTTTGATATTCTGTTTATACGATACCCTAATAAAATAGACATAGTATTTTATAGCCTCTCTATAGTGTTTCAGTAGTTCTTTCTTCTTTACGACTGATTTATGCTTTCAAGCCATTTACAAGATATTTTGTATTTGCTTTCAAGCGTCTCATTAAATAACTGTGTAGAACGCAGAGCTACGCAGTAAAGGAGATAACATGTATTCAACTTGATTTAGTAAGTGACTCCATTACTTTGCTGTAAGTACACAGCGACCACAGAGAATAGAGAGATTCAGCTCCAATAATCGCTGTAACGGATCACCTGGCACCCCAACTGGGTACCTCCATTGAAGGATGCTCCTAGCGCTTCCTGAGGACTCCAAGCACTCCAGCTGACACCATAACCACTGCAAACCCCACAAACTGCCGCAGCTTAGTTGGGGTCTCACCGTCTCCACCCACCCTGGACCCAAGACCAGGGTCCAGCTTCCAGTAGGTCGACCTCTCCGAATTCCAGAGAGCAGGAACAGGAACAAGCTCTTAGCAGAGCTTAGTGACCCTGGGGAGTATAGTGATTATAGCAATCCCCAGAGTGTAGTTCTCCAATCCCCCAAACATGAGCCGAAACTTCATGAAGGTACAAGATGATCTCCTTCAGGTAGCAGAACAGGAACAAGCTCTTACAAGAGCTTAGTAGTGATTTAGCAAGGGAGTATGACAAGTATAGCAATCCCTTGTAGCAGATTCCCCAATAAGAGACGGCACTCCAAATTGAGGGTGAAGTAGAACTGAAGCTTTTAATCAAACACTCTGCTTTTATGCACATTTTACACACATAGTACTGCCCACAGGGTTTTGCAGAACAACCAATCAATATGTACAATACACTCAGACACTCCCACACAAAATCCTCCCCTCTGCCTGTGATATAATTACTGAACACAATGGTCTAACTTAATTATCACAGGCAGGAAAATACACAGTTTTACACAATATTCATAACTCTAAAAGTATATATAACATTCACATAAACTTACATTTTCAGAATCAGCATACTCCAAATAAAAACATACGTCAAAATCATACAAATTGGTTCAGTGGGTGAAAAGTTAGTTGAAAGTCCCTTTGTGACCATCTGCAAGCATGGCTTGGGTGTGGTAAGCCAATTACCTCCAGCATACAGAAAATGGCT